GACATCATTCTTACATAGTAGATAAAATAGAATATCCAATCCAAGTAACTTGTTTTTTTTTTGGTAATGTGTATATATATATATACAGCACTACCAAAAATAATTTTTTCCCTAAAATGAAGAAAAAATCTGGCCGTATGAAAACCACTTTAGAAGTGTATCAATTACGACATCATTCTTACATAGTAGATAAAATAGAATAAAAAATAAAAATGAGTTAATTATTATTTTTTATAAATCTAAAAATAATATATTAAAATTTAAAGGAAACAAAATAAATATTTTTTTGTTTTATATTCATTCACTCTGTCTCTGTTTGTTAGGCTATGCACTTGTTCTGAAAATGCGGGAGAAATGGATACATTACCTAACTGCTAGCGCTGAGCTGTAACTTTCTGCTTCCAAAATAGAAATAACAATTATTATTATTTTTTTTATTATTATTTTTAAATTTCACCTAACTTATTATATTATTCTAGTATTATCTAACTTTCTCTCTTTGTAACTGCAGGTGGGGTAGTTTCTTCGATGCCGTAGATTGACACTAATAATTATTTTCTAAACGTGGGTTCCACCCCACCCCACTGTTCCAATACCAAACCAGTTTGTAGGTTGAGGGTGTGTTGTGATTTTCTAGATTAATGTTCTACTTGTTAAATTACATAATAAAATTACAATATAAACATTAAAATTATTAAAATATTATTAATAAAATGATATTAAAAAATTTATCTAACTTACATAACATAATATTTAATTAATTGAAAAGCTTTTTAAAAAGGCCTACTATAGGAGACAACCACTCTTTTTTGTCTGCCCAAAAAAAAAAAAAAAATTCTTTACTAAATGTAACTGCGCCAGCCAATACAAAAATTAAAAACAAAAACTATGGCTGTGAAAATGGAACACCGGCTGGCTGCTGCAGCTCCTCCTCAAATTCCTTGATCTGCACTCTCTAGCCACACTTGACTGCAGAGTGGAAGGACCGCATACGATCACCCCAATATCACTTCCATCTGATATCCCATTCCCCTCAAATATCTCTGCATCAAAAAACACAACAACAATCATCCAAGTTGCTCAGAAACAGACGCATTTTCCATCATTAATACTCTACTAACTAAAAATGTAGTACTCTTAGCAACTTTCAGGAGTAGTATCACAATATATATATATATATATCATTTTTGTTTACCTCCAAAATCTGGTCTCCTACCATATCTAATCTTAATCCCACTCCCAACACCAACACTCCCCTGGCTGCCTCCCATTACTGTTTCATTGTCCAGTCTTTCTCCATCTTCCTCAGCGGCCTCCACCAACTTCCCTTCCCAAATATGCCACAAGGCAACCACACCACCCCCTACCATCACAACTGCAGCAACCATACTTCCCAAAAACAAAATTCCTCTATACCACCAATAACTTACACCGAAAGGATCCATGTAATACTTCTCCAACAGACCCCAAATCACCACAAACCCAATGCTAGATATGATTACATAAACTCCACACCACACCTTACTTCCTGTTCCGCACAACAATGACATTGCCCCACCCTGTCCTCCCTGGATCCACCCAACACTACCGCTGCACCTCAATACTCCTGTCTCAGCTTTACCCTCTTCCTGCAACACATTTCATTTCTCGTTAAAATGCTATAACTATCAACTCATCATAAGCTATAGCAGCAAAATGCATTAATAATTAAACCTACCAACAAAGGCTCTGATTCTCGGGTTGCATATATTTCAATTTCAATAGTCAGTTTATCGGAATAGGAGGGACATATTGACTCCATATCTACTGTTGATAGAAGAGAAACTTCACTTGAGTTTCTCACAGCCCAAACAAGCAAAACATTTCTTGTAAAGCAGGGTTTTTCATACTTAATTCTGTTTAGAATATCACTCAAGATGGCTAGAAATGGTGATATCCCACTGCCTCCTGCCACCAAAATAAGCTTTGAATACCTGCAATGCAATGCCAAATTATTTTCTTGTTACATATTAGTTAGTCTTCAGAAGCAAGCAAAAATTAATTAGTGATTATGTATGGTGAAGACATACTTCAAGTAGTATGGTGATTCATGCCCGTAAGGCCCCTCTATGGAAGCTGTAAGGTTAGCATGTAAATCTAACTCAGATTGGTTGACAGAACAATTTGAAAGTTTTCCCCTCAGCTTTGATGTCCAGTCGCCAACACATTTAAGCAGGATTGAAATATGATATTTTCCATCCAGGGGGCTTGATGAGACACTAAAAGGATGCCATTGCAACCGAGAAACTTCTCCAACTTTAAGGAAGATAAAGCTGAGGGCATTGTATCGCAGGTCTACATCAAAACAGGAAACTCAACAATATATCATCTGTCATTACTAAATTTATATGAAATGAACACAAGGGGAAATTAGTCCTACTTTTTGGTTTTGAGAACACCAACTTCACAGACCCACATGGGAAACTTGTAGCCGAAGTGATCTTGACAGTCCTCCGCGATTGCCAAAGTCTTAGGAAGCGATCAAGCAAGAAGAGAAATATTCCTCCAGCAGCTTTGCTAAAATAAGTATCACCAACATGCAATGCAAGGAAGATCACAAAGAATATGTATAGGTGATGGGTGTAGTAGAAAATTTCAAAATATCGCCTCCTCACAGGACCAAGTGCTGAAATCCAAATGACTAGACCAAATCCATAGCAAATAACTCCAGCAAAATTTGCCCCACCGTCACTTTTCCACTCTACTATCTGCAGGGACAAAAGTCAATTTATACTTATAATTTCATATATTTCAGTTAACAAAGCAATGCCCTTATGTATTAGTGCACATATGATGGTACGCTGGTATCCACTAACTAATTAAGAAACCTTGATTTCAGGTAAAACTTACCTCTACAATGCTAGGCAGGCAACTAACTCTCAGTGTACCAAAAACAAGAGAAAAAAAAGGATTCCTCTTCACCAGTCTAAAAATGCTTATGTCTCATTTGCTCAGTACTTATTTTATATTCCATGCCCCAGCAAAGGAAAATTATTTCGCATCACCAATATAAACTGATTTGAAACTAAGATCTACTAGTTAAGGCCCCTATCACATTGCATCCTTATCACTTGATTGTTGTACAAGAATGTTGTAGCTATCTGAGTCAATAAGCAAGAAAGTAGGTAGTTTGAAATAAACTGCAAGTTGTGAGTCTGTGTGATAAATGACATCAGATGATGACAGTAATGAGTTGCGTTTGGGAGCCAAAGAGTATGAAAACTCACCGATGATAGGAGGATGCCTCTTATTATCCACACAGTCATATATCCAAGTCCATGAAGAGTAAGCAGGAACATTGTGAGATTTCCCAACCATATATGATATTTAGTGGCATGCTCAAAAGGTATATTGACAAGGCGTAGGAGAATTGAGCCCCTTGTGATTGGAAGAAACAGGAAAGCCAAGCAGGACAGGGCTGTCAAACCAAAGCAATATGCTGACATTTGCAACATCTGAACTCTGAAAGTTGGAAGAGTTCAAGGTCATGTAAATATAAAAACAGGACAGTGCATAAAATAATGCTTATGCTAAACAAAACTATGAGAAGGAACAGTTACCTTTTTTGATTAAGTGTCAAGTCACCATAGGTCGGTAACATTTCGAAGTTAGTAACGGTGTAAGCAGAGACAGCCCAGAGAACAAACACAACGAATAAAAGTATTCCAATCAACTCTGCCGCAGAAACAACCCCAAATGGTCCGTCCACCAAAACGGGAAATGTCCACAAACGAAATCTTGGAGCCTTGTGCCTGCAATATCACGGACTTGTGCATTCGTAACTTAATCTAGTGATAGGAGAAGCATGTAAAAGGGTATGTCGAAAAAATGCCTACTCATGGACTTGCTCTTCATCAGAGATGATAAGATATGGGACAGCTAGGAATGCAATGATGAAAAGAGGACCTCCATACAGCAGCAATGCCACTCCTGCACAGAATCAACCGAAATTAAGACATGTAAGTGTAGAGGACAAGATACACAAGAATGGGAAGGACGGATAACTACAGATGCTGATATAGATACCTGTCTCTCCAAAAGGATTTCCACTGGTTGCTGTAACCAGGTCATCATACAAGTCGGTTCCATAATCTGAGGGAATAAGAAAGAAGAGAGCAATCCAGGCTATGAAAACTGCCCACATGGTAACCTTTAGAACCCATTTGGAAAGTGACACAAAGAAGCAGCCCAGCTTCTTCCTACTGCTCTTTTCGGTTTCATCGAGACTAGGAAGAAAGGGTTCGTCAGGTGTATTTTGTGACTGAATCAGCGCCATGGGCAATAAGAAACTTTGCATTTCCGTATCTATGAACAAGTTTTTAATACTTCCGCTTACCAGACTTTCTTATTCTAACTTTCTTCACTCAAACTAACTGGGCACTTAGAAGTCAGCATTACTGGAAAGTCAACATCTCTGACTTCTCTTTGGTACCGCTGTCTATCTGATTCATAGTTATGGGTATGCTACTATAGTATTTAGGGGTGAGTTCTAATTGGAGTATTTAATTGAATTTCATATACATATGTATATGTATATATATATTTGGTATGTAGAGGTTATACTTTACCACCAAATTACATATTTGATAATCATATTTCATAAGATTTCATATTAAGAATAAGAGTAGAGGTACAAAAAAATATGTCAACTTTACAATTTTTTCTATTTAAAGATATTAACTTTATCAATTTCTATTTAAAAATCACCAATATTTACCATTTAAAAAAAAAAAAAAACACACCTCAACACAACGACTCTGAGAACCGAGAGGAAAACAGCGGACGTAAATCTTGACTACCAACATTTAATAGAAATAGAGAAAAGCAATGCCATTTCTCATCACCAAGTCATGGCTTTTAGGTCCCTTTCTCCCTATATAGTATATACATTTATATGCACAGCTCTCTAGGACACACATATACTTACATTACATAGATACATACTACATCTATATTCTTCTATGTATATGATATTCTTCTATGTATATGATGACCCTTTTACGCAACTACCGTAAGGAGATAATCTTGTTGTGGATGTTACAGATCAAAACTATGGCTGTTGAAATGGAAAATTGGATCATGGCGTCCCCTCCTTACATTCTGTGACCTGATTTCTTTCGCAACACTTGACTGAAGGTTTGGAGGACCACATACCATAACCCCCACATCAACATGCCCCCATTTCTTGCATAGAGATCCAAATATTTCTGCAGAAAAGTAAGAAAACAGTAAAATTCAGTACTTCAGCTTCCCGTCTACACTTCTTTGGATAAAAGTGAAGCTGGGATGCAGTAACCAAATGACAAAAAGATCATTTTTCAATATTATCATGGAAATGCCTTTCTAGCTTTGCAGATCAAATTGTTCAAGCTAGATGCTAGTAGTCGCAATACCTTTCCTTGAGGAAAAGAATACAAACTTTCAGCCTGTTCCGAAGGTAATTTAAAAGATTTGCATCTTGAGGTATGGAATTCATGCATTCAAGATAGAACATGACATTACATGGATAAACAATTACTACCATGAAAGTATCAAATAAAATATTTTCTCAAATAGCATACCTTCAAAGTCTGGTCTGGAACCATACTTAAGAATGGTTGAACTCTCAAGATAATTCTGATTTGATTCCTTGTGGACCAGAATTCCATCATGCTGTTCAGAATCAGGCTTTATTTTGGCGACATCATCTTTATCCTGTGAGGAAGCTCTTCTATCCCAAAGGTGCCATAAACCAACCACAATACCCCCAAAGGATATAACACTTGCAATCATGCATGCAACAAAAAGAAGCCCTTTATACCACCAGGCAGATACCTTGTATGGCTTTATGTATAAGATATCCATTAAGGCCAGTAGAATACCAAAGCCTACAGTGGATGAGATAACATATAGGCCAGACCATATATTATTTCCAGTACCAACCAGAACTGACATACCACAATTGGACATAGGGCAGCCAGACGAGTTCAGAGCCTCATGCACCTTACCTTCTTCCTGAAGGAAATATCAAATAATAAACCAGATAAAGGAAAACAATCATGTAGGAATCAGGAGTACAAACATTGAAAATATAGAGTAAACCTACCAATGAGGGCTCAGATTCTCTAGTAACATAAATATGAATCTCAAGACTTAATTTGTTAGAAAATAATGGAGAAATTGACTCCACAACAATAGTTGAAAGAAGTTGAAGCTCGTCTGATCTCTTCACTGCCCAGACAATAAAAACGTTTCTTGGAACTGAGAGACAAGCCCTTCCATCCCTGACACGATGGAAGATATCACTTAGGATGGCCAAGAAGGGTGAAATTCCAATGCCTCCTGCCACTAAAACCAGGTTGTCATACCTGAGAAAGAAACAGCCATGTTAGCTTATTTTTTGTTATAAATGCAATTTTTGCTTGCTATAGGAATGTTATACAACTGTCAATCAACATGCAACACAGAGCAGCTGCTTTAAAGCGAGAGTAAAACATAACATCAGAAATTTGCAAAGGTTAATGGTCATACAAGTAACTTAAAGAAAAATTCATAACCAGTTACTTCAATAAGGAAGCCTTGTCTAATGAGTACATAGAAGAAAACGAGGAAATAGAGTGCACACATCAAGTAGTATGGTAATTCATGCCCGTAGGGGCCCTCTACAGAAGCTGTTATCTTCCTTTGGAGCTGAGTAGGCTCTATTTTTGGTTCTGCCTCAGACATATTCAAGATGCTTTCCCTTAGCTTTGCTGTCCATCCTCCAAGAACCTTTATGAGAATAGATAGATGGTATTTACCATCTAGAGGACTAGATGAAACACTGAAAGGATGCCACTGCAGCCAAGATAATTCCCGAACTTGGAGGAAGATGAAACTGAGTGCGTTGTATCTCAAATCTACAATTTTAAAAGTGGAAGATGTCACAAATGGTAAGAAAAGATGTCACGGAAAGAAAAAAAAGGGAATGATTCTTACTTCCAGGTTTTGAGAGGATCAATTCCACAGTTCCACATGGAAGGCACTTTGCTGAAAGTATATCCACTGTTCTTCGTGATTGGCAGAACCTCAGAAAGCGATCAAGCACAAACAGAAATATTCCTCCAGCAGCAATGCTGAAAACGAAATCACCAACATGCAATGCCAAGAAGACAACAAAGACTATATACAGTTGATGTGTGTAGAAGAATAACTCAAAGTAGTTCCTCCTCACAGGATGAAAGGATGTAAACCACATCAACAAACCAGCTAAAAGGCTGATTACCCCTGCGAGATTAGCAACACCAATATTCTTCCACTCCAATAACTGCATAAGAGAATTAAAAAGAACTATGAACAAATAGGTAACCAGTCTCAGTCTTCATTTATTAATCAATCTCTGCAAAAAGAGATCATATCCTTAAAAAAAAAAAAAAAGAATAAGAATTTCTTTTTTTTTTTCTCCCTTCATAATTTATATCATTCTCTTTTTTCATAATACTAAATATTTAACTGACTCTGACAATCATTTTAATTTGAAGAAACAGTACAACTTAAGCCAATCCAGTAAGTTTAAAATGAAAGGAAATGCCAAATTGGACCACATGACACAGTAACAGGGATATGTCAGAGTATAAATTTTCCAGTTTCAACAATAAATTAGCAAATAACTAGTCCAGAAAAATAAATGGATATAGGACATGCAAGTGCATATATGAATATCCATCAAAACATATACATGAAAAGACATGCGAGCAGAAAAGCAGGGTAACAGCTCACTTCAGCTAGGAGGTGCCCTTCCATTGCCCAACCAATTACATAGAATAGCCCATGGAGGGTGAAAAGCAACATGGTGAGATGCCCCAACCATACATGATATCTTGTGGCATGCTCAAAAGGGATATCAACGAGGCGAAGAAGGACTGAACCTCTTGCAATTGGAAGGAACAGAAACGCTAAGCAAAGTTGTCCTATCATACCAAATCGGAGCCCTGAGAGTTCCAACAACAATATACTGAAAGTATCAAATGTGAACATTTATATTAGTCCTCCATGAAAGGAATTGACAGAGTCTACTATCTAAACATACAGAAACATCTTAAATAATTTCATGTTGTTCCATTGCAGAAGTAATTACAGCAGGAGACTTGAGAATATTAAAAAGAAATCAAACATAAACACCAAAAAACTATCGGTAGCAAGTAGTATTTCCTGAAGCTTATATAAGAGCCAATTTAATAAACAGTGTCCCATTACCATTTCTCTTTAGAAGGCAACTGGAACAAGGATATGAGGTTGAGATTCCGCAAGGTGTAGGCATACACAGCCCAAATGATAAACAGAACAAAAAGCAGAATTCCTAGAAACTCAGCAGCGGAGACAACCCCAAATGGCCCATCTACAAGAACAGGGAATGTCCACAAGCGAAACCTGGGATGTTTTGAGCTCTTCCTATAAAACCACCAAAAATAAATAAATAAATAAAAGCTTCGTAACGTAAATAATCCATATATAATTTGAAAAGAGCAGACAAAGATGCTAAGTGAGAGTATAGAATGTCATACTTTTGGAACAGCTCTTCCCCCGATAAAATAAGATGTGCTACACCAAGACATGCAATTATAATAATAGGACCACTGAATACCAAGAATAAACTTCCTGCAACAAAGAATGGAATTGGGGGAGATAAATTAACCGGAAATACAAAAAAAAAAAGATAGAAAAGAAAAAGATGAAGAATTGAGTAGGAACAAACCTGTTATCCCAAAAACAGTTCCATCGGTGGCCTGAATCAATTTCCCAACCAACTGATTACCAAATTCTCCTGGATAAAGATAGATGAGTAAAACCCATGCAAGGAAAAGGAACCACATTACAATCTTTAGAGTATATTTTGCGAAAGATACAAAGAGGGATGGCTTGTTAACATAAGCGAGATCAAGCCCATCAGTCAAGATAAGAGGCTCAGTAACTGAATTTCTATCCATGACAAGAAACTCTGCCTTTTTTTTTTCTCAGATACCAAAATCTAACTCCTGAATAATGGGTTTCTTAGAGGGCCAGAAACCAGTTATATAGAGAAATAGTAAAGGGAGAAAAAATTCAAACTTTGTGGAACCCATTACTTGGAATTGACAGGAAAGAATTGTGTCCATAAATATGAGTGGGAGGGAGCAGGGAAACCAAAGATTAGGTTTTCAGCAGTACAAGAAGTGAAAAAAAAAAAAAAAAAAGGTGGAAAATACAGAACCGCAAGAAAGAATAAAGATAGTAGACTAGACACGATGAAAATGGAGAGTTGTTAGCCAGTGCCACTCAAATCTAATCCAAGAAGTAAGAACAGAACAAAACTAAACAGGAAGACAAACAAAAAAAAAAATTAATAATAATAAAATAAAAGTGAAAATAGTAAAAATTAAGAAAAATTATAATGTAATTTGAGAAAAAGAAAGCAACGCGAGGGTAAAGCAGGTTCACGCCTGGAAGAATACCTGATTCCTTAATAAGCAAAATGGCCGATGCTTAAAGCGACAGCAAACAGTCAGTAGCGACATAAAGAATCAGAATATGGGATAGGGGAACCAATTGTGTCCTTAAAGATCAACATTTTAGAATTGAACTGAGGAAGTAAGTAGTAGGAAGACAAAAGCGTGCGCTGATGAGGTCCACATTCCACACCACCTGACCCCGAATGCTGATTGGGTTCCAATTCCATAGATTATTAATAGCCCATTATGTATCTTTCTTTCATTGATAACGCTGATGTATCCCCTTCCCTGGCCTCATCTCATCTCACCTCACATTAACAGATTGGGGATTCTCATCTCATGTTTGTTTGTGCATTAATGCATTTGTGAGCCATGTGGGTAAAAGTAAACAGACAAGCCCAAAGCACAATCATCACCCAATTTAGTTAAGTCTATCTATTAGGCGCCCAAGGTTTCTAGGCCCAATTGAATGGATCTCGATGGTCCAAAATTGAACTGTTCAACGCAACGTGCTGCGCTATTAAAAAAGTTTACATAATGTTTGTAACTACTATATACCATTAATTTATCATCATCATTATTATTAAGATACTATATATTATCTTCGCTCAATGTTTTGTGTTTCTTATCTTCGTTTTCTTAATTTTTAGGTCGTTATCCTTAACAAACAATTTGGATTGAATGCAATGGGGAGATCAATTTTGTCAGCCTTTTCCTTTTTTTTTTTTTTCTCCATAGGAAGAGATCAATTTTGTGAACCTATGCATTTTTTTTTTTACTCATTTCATCAATGACGATATGAGTCTTATTAGTTCTTTTTTCCCCTTTTACTTAATTTTTCATATTAAAATGGATCATCTCTTTTTTAAATTGATTGACTATTAAAAATTTAATTAAGTTAATATTTATTCATTTATACATATGAACAAATTATTTCTTAGTCAAAAACTTTTTCTTGCCCACCCTAAAAAATATTTCTAGCTTCACCACTGCCTGGCTTCCTCCGTCCCTTCCATGTTGTCACATTGGTATGCTCTCCATCATTCCCTTTCCCACTTTCTCTCGAAAAGAGAGGTCACGGAGGAAGAAAAAATGGGGAAAAAAGACATCGATGAACAAAACCCCTAAAAAAATTGTAAAAAATCAGAGAGGAGGAGAAGGGAGAAAATAATTAGAGATGGTATGTACGATATAAAATAACTAATTTAAATTGGGAAAGAGCAGCACTCGCTCGGGCACTCAACATTTTAAGGTTAACATGTGGCAAGACTATTATAACACTAAACTGGCAACTGGCTTTGACAAATCTACTGTAGAAAATATTTTCTAATTTTAAATATTTTATGAAATATCAAGAAATCCTGCAAAAGTAAGAACAAGAAGAAAACTATCGTATAGCCTAGGCCATTGTAGAAACCTTGACAGCGTCCCCTGTGCCAAACCCCATGAAGCTCGTGCCTTGAACAAAGCCGTCGGTAGCTGTTGAGGTGATGTGCGTCACTCCCCTGCCATTGTGTTCCCTTAAGGAAGCAATGCTGAGGATTAAACTATTTGTCGGCAGCGATTTATCTTGCTGAAAATTAAAGAAATCGAAGCAATTCGTCAAAGCCTAAATACTATTGAATGGGTTTTTTCTAAGGTTTAAGCCCTTGAACCATTACTTAAATAGTTTTCCTCGCTCCTCTCTTTGAATTTCAGAGTTTCTCTTTCTAGCCAATATCTACACTTTCGTTTTTTAGAAACCATAAACAAAGCAGTGGCTTGATCTTTGATGGGAAATTATTAGATCAAGATGCTATTTCTGCTTGGGAAGGGAAATCTGAGTAGATAGAGAATGGACCCAACAGGTGGTGGTTATGAGAATGAACCTAACAGTGGTGGTTATTGGATTTGAGTTCTTGATGCAACGATAACAGGGCTCACCCAAGGAAAATTAACTTTGCCCATAAAATTGTTTAATTTTACCCTCAGTTTGGGTTGAGGAAGTTGGAGGGGAGGAAAAGGAGATGAAGGGAGAGATTTAACGGAGGGGAGGGAGATGGAGGGAGGTGCAACCCCCTTCACTTTTCTGTTTTTAATCTTTTTAAATTGGAGAGCTTTTTTGTTCTTAATCTCTCTAAATTAAAGTGATTCGGAAGAATTAATTTTATACATTTATTTTAAGATTTTTTTAAAAATAAATATATAAAAATATTTTATATCAATTAATTTTTTAATTAATGAATTTTAAATATTTTATTTTATTTTTAAAAAATTATTTAATTAAATAAAAATATTATTATTTCCTCTCCTCTATTTTTACTTATCCAAACAAATTTAATATCAATAATTTCTTTTCCTTCACTTCTTCTTTTTCTTCCCTTTCCCTTCTTTCCTTTTCCTTTACTAATTTTTATCTAAACGTAGCGTTAGATCTACTAAATGAGTCATACAATGGGCAAGGAAAATTGTCTCTCATGTTAAAGATGACAGATGATAGAGAAAAATGAAATTTCCAAATACAATGTTTGATTGACAGGGGAGTAGAAAGGCTAATAAAGCTTACTTTAACAACACTAGTTATAGTATTTTTTTATATATTT